GACCTCCTCAGCGAGCGGCCACTTCGCCATAAAACGATCAGTTTTATATTTACCGTGGTGGCGCTATCATTCAATGGACGGCGGCGCCATATGGTGGCGAGGCTGGACGCTGCAAGGGTCTGCCATTGCTCGGAGCTGGCTGGATCGCTGCGCCCCGGCTGACTGAGCAGAGCACCAGGCCCAGATCCATGCCCAGACTACCCGGCGCCGAGGCATACGAGTTATCCCACATGGGATGGTCACTGTTTGGACTGGTTACCTGTTCTGTGTATGGGGGCGGGGAGGGGGGGGGGACATGAGGAGGCTGATGAACTGTGCTGAGGACCCCCTGTTAAGATCAGCGGTATTTATTGACACATAATTTGATATGACTTCGCCCGATAAATTCTAGAGCGCAATGCCGACGATGGACAATGTCAGATAAGCACTGAGAGCGAAACGATGGCAGTAATGCTGGCATGTTTCCTGCCTCTGTTTGAAAATGGTGACATATAATGCTGTCTGGGTCCAAGAACAAAGATCTACTAGATACCAATACAAATACCTACACTCAAAGCCCCATCAAAAATGTGCAATTTAATGCCTCTTTAAACTTGACGCATTAGTAATAATGTTTCTCCTCACCCTCAACTGAGGTATGAATATATAGATCCAAAATCAAATATAAAATGCTTTTCTGTGCGAGCATCGTGCAGTACGTACACATGACCTCTCTAGCCAGTTGGGCAGTTGGCCGGGCTTTGTACTCCTCAGACGACCAAGTTTGAGCAGGTCCATAGAGGCTGTGCGCGACGCCGCACTACCGGGTGACCTTTGGTGCGTTTCAGTTCAACTTTGTCGGTAAACTGCTCGGCCCGAAGGGCAACTCTCTGAAGCGGCTCCAGGAGGAAACACTCACCCGAATGGCGATCCTGGGACGCGGCTCCATGCGAGACAAAGTCAAGGTGAGATAAAGTAATGTGGGGGTCAGTAATGTATTCGTTTTTGAAGCGAGTGTTTCTGATCTCTCTTTGTTTATTGTGCTTTAACTCGCATGCTTTTATTATGTTTAAAAGTTTGTTACAATTACGGCAATAAGTGAGATATTTCAACGGAACATATTTGTTTCGGCTCAACTCTGCGATTATAAAAAACTCTTGTGTTTCAGCTTCCATAAATATTAAATTCCTACACCCAGCTGCATCCTTGACTTTTCAGCGTGGACTCATGTTCCATTTACCAGATTGCTCTCATTTTCCGGATACTTTTAACCAGATTACTCATTTGAAGGTGACTGGTGAAAACAGGTCAAGGCATATGCCGAGCACATGTCGATCTTTTTTAATGACAACAAATGTTGCGGTAACAAATGAATAATCATACGCTGCTGAACGTATGGCGTAGTCATAGTGCATCGGTAGACTGTGGCTGGCGCGGCGGAGCGCCGGTAGTTAGACTGTCCCGCAGCACGACGATGTGTTGCGGCACAGCCTACCACCAGCCCGGCGCCAGCCGAGCCACGGCGTTCACCCAGACGCGCGCGTCTCCCCGCGAGCTGAATGGCTCGATGGATGGGCCGCACATTTGGCTTTATCGTAGAACATTCCCGTTAAGATGACTTTCCAATCTGCCGCTAGTGAGTGCCATCGGTGAGTAGAAGTTCACCTGAAACTCAGCGTCAATGTTTGCCTTCTACCTATCGCAAAGCTAGCCTTAGTTTTCAGCCTTGGCGTGAAGAGATACCAGCGTAAGACTTTAAATCGGGATCATTTTGGGCTGCTGTTTGGAAATAAAGATATGTTTAGACCAGATTGAAAATGTTTGGAGTTCGCTCTCGGTGGTCTGGCGCTTAGCCAGCACGCAGGATAGAATGCATATCAAGCATCACCGTGAATAATTCCCACCAATACATCACGGGAAATTGAAATGGTGAGTTAACTGAAAGGCTTTATGGTAAGATATTATCAGATATAATTAAAATTTGGAGAAAGTGGGAGACGCTTCATTAGCCTATTCCACAATTAAAAGTTATTCACGTACAAGATGCAAGATATCCTCCTATTTGACGTAGTTTTTAAATCATATTGATGCTACCCATCGCTTGGCTCCCATTTTTATTCATCCTTCACTTCCGCGGGCCGCATTGCCCTATTTATAGGACGGATCCCACTGCTCCTCTTCCATCCCTCCCCTATGGGCCGTGACAGCAGTGAAAGCTCGCCCTACTCCTGGTGGCGCAGAGCTGGAGTCGACGGTCCGGGAAGAGGGGGAGGCGATGGAACCGGGACCTCCGACCCCCGGGATAACACCTCCAGCAATTAAGCCAATAGGACCACCGCGCTGGTGAAATTAAGTCGAAAAAGGCACTGATTGGTTACTGGGGCTCTGCTGAAGAGTCTAAATATTATTTTAATTTTTACATCATGACTTGACAAAAATCTTTAGTACTATTGGTAGTGCCATATGCTTCATTTATTTCATACATGTTGGAAAAATATAATACGTGATTCTGCAACAATTGCTAAATCCACGCTGTCATCAACTTGGGGTTTCTGGGGATTAAAAAGCCGTTTGAGATTGCTGAAACTGTTGACCGTCTCCATTTGCGGCTTTGAAAGAAATAAGAATTGGGTTATGGAAGATCAGCATCAGCGTTTCCCTGCACTCAGTGATGACTTTTTCTTAGAGATCGCTAAATCCCTATAGATTTATCTTATCCCCATGGTGACTGTTTCACAATACAGCAGATACTAACTATAATTGTTGCGTCTGGAACCGTTTTGTGGATTTCTATTCCCAGCGCACTTTAGAGGGAACAAGGAAGTAGCATTAAAAATAACCAACCGGGAAATACCACCCAAGACCAGTCCCCACCGCAGCTGACATTGTGACTGTTCTGGCTGACAGGCTGACAGTTTGTCTGATAGGAGTCTGATGTCGGTCTGATGGTCTGTGTGAAGTTGGTGTGGTGGTGTGTTGACTTAGGCCTGATGGTCTGTCTCTCGTTGGTTCAACGGTGGGGCTGACGTCGGTGTGGCGGGATCTGATAGCCGGTTTGCCAGCCTGACGGTTTGGCGGTCAGCTGGTCTGTCTGTCTGTCTGTCTGTCTGTTTAATTGGCTCACTAAATAAGGTTGACTGGTTTCTGGCTGGTCTGTCTAACTGACAGACTGTCTAATGACTCGCTGCTGGTCGGTCTGTCTGTGACGCGGTCTGCTGGTCGGAGTGACATGCAGGGTTTACTGGTCTGACTGACGCGCTGGTTGAACTGCCTGACTGACGCAGTCCGCTGGTCTGACTGACTCGGTCCGCTGGTCTGACTGACTCGGTCCGCTGGCCCCCAGGAGGAGGAGATGAGAAAGTCCAACCACCCGCGAACAGCCCACCTTCACGAAGAACTGCACGTGGAAATCGTCGCCTTCGCCCCGCCCGCCGAGGCGTATGCGCGCATGGCCTACGCGTTGACGCAAGTGCGACGTTACCTGATACCGGACAACAACGATCAGGTCAGTGGTGTCCGAGGCAGTGTTCGCCACGGGCCCCAAAATCCCCAGCCCAGCCCGGCCCGGGCCCATGGGTTCAGAGCCCGGCCCAGCCCGTAGCCCGCTCTTGGCAAATATTCCAAGCCCAGCCCGGCCCGGCCCGTCAAAAATAGCAATCTAGTTATTGTCTTAGTCTATTGCTATAATAAGCATGATTGATTACACTATTTTCAGAACAATTCAAATTGCATGAATATTAACGTGGCAATCATGACTCCCTTCTTTTCAATGAATATAATCATTTCAAGCACCTATGGCACAAATTTTAACAGTAACAGCAAGCACCTCAGTCAATTAGGTCATGATTACACACCTATAAAAAGTTTACATGATTATATTAACTACATTCTATGAGTAAAGTTATCTTGCAAGCTGATGTGTGTGAACATTATCATTCAAAATTGGTGACTCTAATGCATACTTGAAGGAAGTATTTGCAACATGCTCTATACTTCCCAGCACTTACCAGCAGAAAAAAGCTTGACTTATGGGAATTGATGAATGATGAATCTGTCTGGGATTGACCTTGCTGTTAAATTCACTCCATAGATCAAGATGCTGCAATATCAAAAGCCTGAGAAAGCATACAAAATAGGTGACACTAACTTTAGCACTGTCTTCCAAAAAAAGATAAAATCCATCCATTTATCAGCAAAACTGATTTAATCTATTTTCAATTCATGCCCACGTGTCAACCGAATCTCTGTGGACAACTATCTGCTACTTTCCTTGCTATTTTATGTTAGGCTCTTTTCAAGATATGGATATCGCTAGCAGCGTAAGCAGAAAACATGGTAAGCTTGAAATGTCATTGGGCACTTTTGCGACTTTTACGCATCATCATCATCAATTGAAAATAAGCGAACACTTCTTGATTGTCGCAGCTGCGGCAGGTAGCGAATTTGACCAATTGTATAATAAAACATATATGATCAAGTTTTTGTTTTGTTTTTCGTTCGAGTTTTCAGACTTCGTGATTAAAGTTTTATTTTTTATTTGTTTAATTTTGTTTTTCACCTTGATACTTACTTAAAAAACGTATTTATTTGATATACTGTTGTTATACTACCTAGATGCCGCCACATAAACATAGCGCCGCCGCGGCCGCCGCCATGATTGCAAATTTTGTTGAGAGGGGGCTGGTTTGTTGTGATTTATTTTGACAAATTTATGGACATTTAAAGAAGCTTTCATCGCGAAATACTCTGTAGAATTCCTCGTTACTTACAGTGTGTTTTGTGAGTATCCTTTTAAGGTTCTGTTCGTTAAAAAGCCGTCGGTGAAGGAAAAAAGACTGTGTTGGAATTGTCTCACTATCGCCATATATAAGTGTTAAACTTAATGTAGCCCTGTAGCCCATCATTGTTGAGTGGCTTCTTAGTTTTTGGAGTTGTAGTGCTAAGTAAGTTATTTTGATGACTACATTTTAACTTTTATTAACAAACTAATGATGCTAGAGATTCTCTGATCTTTTTGGTTGCGGAATTTTTATGAAAACCCTCCTATGTGTGACATGATGTGATATTGGATAATTCTCAAGATTCCCAAAATTCAATATCAAGTAGGTTTTCTTTCACATTGCTTAAATTTGGTTTAGTTTTTGTATTTTCCCAGTGGGTTTTGTTTGCATCAGTTTCCAAATTTTCTTAAATTGACATTAGTCGCAAAACCCATAGTGCACAAAGCTCTTGGCCCGGCCCGTCCATAGCCCGTTAACTAATGATATTTGGGGGCCCGGCCCAGCCCGTAGCCCAGCCCGGCCCATGGCCCGTTGGGCTGGCCCGGCCCGTGGCGAACACTGGTCCGAGGATCTCATTTGTCGCTAATGTTACCCGCAGATACGGTGATACCGGTACGGAATTGTGGTGGCTGAAAAGTGTCCAAGCCACAGCGACAACACTATAGCCGCGTTTACATAGGGCTAGTTGCCAGATAGTGGAATTCCGATACCGAGACATTTATTCCACTAACGAGACATTTCAGGCACATTCCGCTAGTTCTGACGACCTATCCGGCCAGAACGCCAGATAGGTCGTCAGAACCAGCGGAATGTGCCTGAAATGTCTCGTTAGTGGAATAAATGTCTCGTTATCGGAATTCCACTATCTGGCAACTAGCCCTATATGTAAACGCGGCTACTGACGCATTCCGATGCTTTATCATCACACTAACACATGCACAATAGCATGTTGACGCATTCGCATAACCCATCATCACATATTCGCCGATTATGTGAATGTGTTAACGCCCTGATAAAGCATCGAAACCCGTCAGCGTTTATACAGATTTGAATATTCCATGTAATTACCATAATTTTCTATACGTGAGCTCTGACCAAAAAGGACACATTTCACCCGGAGCCCGTATGCTATTGACATTCTCACCTGAAAATAACAAAACAAGTCTTTTCATCATCAACACATTATAACATATATTAAGCATTTCAAACGTTACGTATCGGTGCATTTTTGCATCGTATGTATGTTTTCATGAGCAAATACATTTATTAAACATCGTATGTTGAGCCACGATGCAATAAATGTAATAGTTAAGTCAACTGCATACATAGAGGCCGTTATCAAAGCGCCATTATCAGAATAATACAGTTCCCTGTACACTAACGACCTGCCTGCAGCAACTGCAGCGGTTCGGCAGCATGACCTGGTGGGAATGCAGTCGCCCATGAACCGCTTCCTCGTGGTTTTTACCAGCAGAGGTTAGAACGACTATTATAAACGGCGTTACCCGTCTAAAACATAAAGCTTTGAGCATGAATGTACTTTCAACGAATAAGCAACGATGCCCGCTGGGGTGAATTGTGAATCCGGTTCGAAGCGGACGTGGGCTGAGGCCTGCCACCATTCATTAATAATGCAAGCCTGCATGTTGTGACGTTTCCACTTTCAGGATGGCCTGGCATGAGATCGGGTGACCTGACCCACAGTAATCGAATGGTATAGTCTCCGCCGAGCTCATCTTTATAGGCAGCATCGCCATTTTATTTACTATGCACAAGCGATGCGTCTCATTTGATGGTATCACCAAGGATGCAGAGAAGACACCAGAAAAAAATTAAAATATGTCGTCCTTCGATAACCTGCCATTATATAAATTGCATTATCTTCAAAAATCATATTGATTATGAGATTGTCTGTTCGGCGGATATGTTTTTGTAGGGATGCAAAAATGACTATGTCCGGCAGAAACCATTAGTGGTCTCAAAGGCACTCGCAGCGCAAAGTCCTGCACTACCTTAAATGCCTCATTTAGGTAATGAGTTCACTAAGGGTCTCTCTAGCCGCCTGTCATACGCTTTGGCCGGAAATCTTGGGTTTCAAAGTGTATTTAATAACATTGTGTCTCATTCAAGGTTACAAGTAAATCATTTACGATCAAAACAAACCAATGCGTATTGCGTATTTACATGCATTGTATAAATCAATATCAGCTCGCTAAAACAGGTCAAGACGCAGGCATTGACGCTTGTAGGGTAGTATTTTACTTAAGTACGAGGTGTTAATGCACTCCAACTACTCACAACTCAGTGCACTCAGTGGTCGTTCATTTTATGTGACGACTAGAGACGTCAATCGGATACCAACTTTTTGGTATACCGATACCAAACCGATATCAACCTGGTATTTGGTATTTCAAGACTAACATATTTGGAATTTCGTTGGTATTTTGAATCCTCGCTAGGTAATGTAAAAGAGGCTGTGAATTTCGTTAAAAGTTGATATTTCCCTGATATTTCCAAGTCGGTTCGGCTTCAGTATATGCCCACGGTTCCTGTTGATATTTGATTTCGTATCGGTATCACAATTTTCCCAAATCGACGTCACTAATGACGACCACAGTCCACAAACCACATACAGCCACGCACACCATAGTCACCTTGAAGAGGCAAAAAGTGATAAAGTGAGGCCGGGCAGATGGCATATGGTCAGCACATGCCTACAGCCAGTAAAAGTGAGCCATATAGCAAACTGTCAGACATACATGCAGACACTAGACAGACAGACAGACAGACAGACAGAGCCAGCGGCCACCTCCCTTTCCACGGCGCGGTGGGTGCTGGACGGTGGACCAGACGGACCGGGCGTGGTGGCCTGGCCTGCAGTGGCCAGGCGGCGGTAGCTGGATAGGACAGTGGATGGACCTGCAGTGGCCGGCCATAGTCGGTAGCAGTGTCAGACGGCGGCCGGGCCGGGGTAGGCTATTATCGCTCTATCGCACACTGGTCGGAAACGCCCTCATGAGAGGCCATGGGCGATTCCGGAGTTTTGGATGATTTTTTATATAGATCGATTTGAAATTGATCAAATTATTATACTTAGGCCAAAAAAACTAATCCGGGTGACTAAAAATAGCTGTAATCAGCCCCCGAAGATGGGGTATTCCAGAACTCGGAAACTGACGCGGAGCAAGAGGTTTCTTGAGCCGGATATTCAGAGTCTTATTGCTGACAGACATTAAATTGAAATCCCACATATTATGCATCAAAATGTTCGTTATGAAGTTGCCGACTGGTCAGTGCAAAATTTTTGGTATACTTTTTCCCTAACTAAGATGTACTATAGCTTTTTTATGAAGGCTCTTCTACAGTGATTCTGGAATATAACTGCAAAGTTTAGGTAAGGAAACAACAGGTAGTCCCATCTAGTTCCACTCTGATTTTTTGTGAGATGAAGTAGGATTTAAATTTACACCAGGGCAACATAAAAGCTAACTGCGCATATTTGCGCAAAATTTGCAGGAGCCGCTCTTCCTACCCAACTACCGCCCGCCCCGCCCCAGTTTCGGCTCGGCCGCCGCGCCCGGCTTACGCTGACCTGTGTGGCCTGCACGCATCCATGCGTAGTTGACTGGTCATTAAAAACAGATGCGCTTGAGTTTATGAATTTTGTGAAAAGCGCGTTTTATGTATGCATTTATGTATGTATTGACATCAAAAGCCTTCCACA